TCTGTCAAACTCTCTATAAGGTTAGTATAATTTGGATACCAAAACCAAAGAGATGGCATGAAAAGAAAACTACAGTGTCATGTCCTCAATAAATATAGATGCAAAGATTCTCAGCAAGATACTAGCAAATCAAGTCTGAACGTAATCAAGAAAGATCATGCATCACAATCAAGTTGATTTTTATCCCAGAAATGCAAAGGTGGCTCAACCTCCACAGATCAAAAAAACATCATAAATCACCTCAATAGCATGAAAGACAAAAACCAGATGGCCTTCTCACTAGAGGCAGAGACAGCATTTGATAAGATTCAGCATGCCCTCATGACAAAACCTGTCCAAAAATTGCACATAGAAGCAACAATCCCCAAAATTAGGAAGGCTGTGCATCACAAACTAAAAACAATCAATCTAGTTGGGAACTGCACTAAGAATTGCAATTGACAGTTTTCAAAGGAAGAAGTACAAATGGGCAACAAACTTTCAAAAAAACTGCTCTGTGTCACTAGTCATCAAGGAAATGCCAATCAAAACCACCATTAACTATCACCTCACACTTGTCAGAATGGCTAAAAGTCAAAACATAAGGAGTAACAAATCCTGATGAAGAAAGGACAAATACACTATTGGCAGCTATGTAAATTAGTACAGCCTCTGTGGGAAACAATATTGAAATTTATTTAAAAAAAAAAAAACTAGAAAGACTTGCCATATACACTACCAGGAATATACTCAAAAGATGCCAACACCTTGAATCAAAAAGACACCTACACCATCCTGTCGAAGCTAAAATTTTAAAAAGTAAGAAAGAAAAAAGAAATAAATGTCTGTATGTATCAGTATTGAAAACACAGATATGTAAAACCTTGTTTTGTACCTTTATCAAACCAATGATAAGTGTCTTACTGAGCTGAGCACCAAAGGTCAGGATAAAGAATTGGGTAGCAATAGAACCTTCAGCACATTTGGGCATATTAGCTTCACAGACTAGCATCCTAAAGAGAAGCAACATATTGCCAAGTATATGGAGAAATTGGGCAGTGATGATGAGCTTAAAAGGCTTTATAATTGGAACAAATCAGAGATGCAGTGAGCCACCTATTAAGACCAGTGGGAGGAACTTGAAACAACTCAACAATACCAAGTTAATGATAATTACATCAGGAGGCTCACCCACCATCGCCAACATTGAAAAGCCCTTCCTGGAATGGATTGGTAACCCTGGAAAAAGGAAATAATCCTAGATTCTACTGAACTGATCCTGATTGCTCAAATTAAAATTTATTTTACAAAGTAATTGTGGTCTTAAAAGTAAGATTATGTGGAACCACAGAGGTAAGAATACATAAAAATTGTGAAAAAGAAATATGATAAAGTTTCTTTGATGCAATTTTTAAACTCTGTGCCTACGTTTCTCATACCCTGCATTTTCATTTGCCTTGAAGGTTTTGGAGACTTAGTCTTATATATATAAGGACAATAACCTAGCTAAACATAATTAGAGCACACAAGAAAATGAGTTTTGATTGTAGAACTCAGTAAAGTAGGTTTTAAATATTAAACTTTAAGACCAATTTATTCTGATTTTCAGAAGTGCCAGGGAACAAGCAAATTGCCAGTAGCTGAATGAGAGAAGAACCCTGAGGTTATAAAAAGGCCCAGGAGGCAGCTGTTTCTACTTACTTTTATCCAAAAAGGAAAATCAAGGTCAAAACTAAATAATGATTGAAAACAGTTCAAATTTAGTACATAAGATGCTATTATGTTTCCATACAGTTGAATTTTGATGTATATTTGTGTACAAATATTAATAATTATAAACATCTTAGATTTTGGTTATTTATATATGTTTGACAAATATGAATAAAATGTGGACATACTATAATACATGCCATTATCCAAAATATCATTTTGGATATGTTAGATGAATACACATCTATTTATAAATTTTTTAAATTATACATACATATTCTTAAATTATTCATCTAGCGTCTACTGGGTTAATCTGGTTCAGAGTGAGCCTAACTACTTGATCCGCACTGTACAACTCAAGCATAAAGATAGAAAAAACATACCACACTAACCGGCAGATGTTGAGCTGTACCTGCCATGTGCCCTGAGTCAGAGGAGTGAACTAAACAAGCTGCCCATCCCAAAAATAAAAAAGTACAAGATGCTAGCATTAACTGGGTCAAGTTGTACATTTCAACTAACAGAACAGATGATTTGTCACAGAGTCAGAAAAATTAAATAAGAACGTCATGGGAATCAGCACCCAGATGCAATAAGACCAACAAGATTGACTGATTGCATCATTGGCAAGCTGACATAAAGACAGATGAACGGGACAGCAAAAGCACTGTTGCATGAGACCACTTAGCGTGATGTTGAACAAGAAGGCTTCCAGGTAAACTGAAGCCCACTTATACTTGTGATGGGTCTCACACTGTTTCCCTGGATGTAACTGGGCACCCCACCAGCTACTGAAAGTAGGAATTTATCACTGTTGCATCTGTCCAGTTCCTAAAGCAGTACCAGATACAAAGCGGGATATAATTTATATTCAATTCAAATTTAACTTCAATTATGTTTGGATTAAATTTCAATTTTAGAACCCACAGAAAAGGGGTGGGCATTTAACCTGTGGTTAAGATACTGTCTAGGGACCCAGCACAGTAGCCTAGCAGCTTAAGTCCTCACTTTGCATGTGCCAGGACCCCACATGGGTGCCAGTTCTAATACCAATATGCCAGCTTCCCATCCAACTCCCTGCCTGTGACCTGGGAGGGCAGTAGAGGATGGTCCAAAGCATTGGGACCCTGCACACATGTGGGAGACACAGAGGAGGCTCCAGGTTCCTGGCTTCAGATCAGTGCAGCTCTGGCCGTTGTGGCCAGTTGGGGAGTGAATCAACAGACAGAAGATCTTCTTCTCTGTCTCTCCTCCTCTCTGAATATCTGACCTTCAATAAAAATAAAATAAAATCTTTAAACAACAAAAAAGATACTGGCTAGGATGGATGAGTCTGTCATCAGATTAGTTGGATTCAGTTCCCGGCTCCAATTCCAAAATCTGGCTTCCTGCTAATACAGACATGGCAAACTCTAGTGAGGACTTGGGTTCCTGCCACCCATGTGAGAGCTCAGGGCTCCTGCCTTTGGCCCCAATCCAGTATTTTCTGGTATTTGGACAATTAACCAGAAAATGGAAATACTCTGTGTGTATGCGTGTGTGTGTGTCCATTCCTCTAATGCTGTCTTCAACAAATGTTTAGCTCACAGATAAGAAATAAAGGCAAAGCTAGAAATGAAGAACATAATTTGCAATGTCATGTGTTATGGAAATATTTGCCCAACTTTTTCAACCACTTATCAGACTAAATGAAGTAGTTATACAGATTCCACATTTTCATTCCTAAATTATTCTATCAGATGACTTGAAGAGGTCTAAAGCAATGAAAGAAAATTTTCCTCAAAGCTTCCTCTAGCTCAGTGAGTTTAGCAAGTAAGGATGAATTAAACAATAAACAATCTTTAGTTCAGATTGTGTAAATGAACGATCTTTACATGGCTTCAAAAACTGCCACTTGGACAGGAAAATATTACCAGGATCAAGGTCCTAATGGAAGAAGCTGACTTCATTCTGTAGGGCACTATCTGCTATTGATCCCCAAGACCAATGTGTCTGAGAGAACACTTGGCGTAAGATATCAAATAATGTGATCAACTGGGATATGAGAAGAAACGATTACAAAGTTAGTGCATATTTGATTCCATCTTTAAAATAGAAGAGCCATCATAGTTGGTCAACAGGCTGATCCTCTGCCTGAGGTGCCAGCATCCCGTGTTCACGTTGCAGATGCTGGCACCTCCAGTCCAATCCCCTGCTTAAGGACTGGGAAAGCAGGGGAGGATGGCTCAAGTCCTTGAGTCCTTGCACCCATGTGGGAGACCCAGAAGAAATCCCTGGCTCCTGGCTTCAAATCAGCTCAGTTCTAGGTGTTGTAATCTTCTTGGGAGTGAACAAGAGGATGAAAGTTCTCTCTCTCTCGCTTTCACCCTCTCTTTCTGCCTCCCTCCATCCCTCCACCCCTCCCATAAATCTACCTTTCAAATAAAAACAAATAAATATATAAGACAGAAATATGGCATACTAATATTTAATACACAGTTCAGTGGTGTTACCTGTGCATCACCTATATTGAAGTTATGTGTTCTGGAAAAGATGTTTTCAGTACAGGGGTGGAGTATCTTTACAGTGTGATAACAACCACTTTAGACTTTATCAAGGATTCCTTTTAGGAAGCAGGGTAAAGAGAAATCTATAGCTTCGTTAGCACCTTCTGTATAAGAAGGACAGAATAACAAGTTTTTATCCCTTTGAATCTCCACAATTACACTAACATATTTGGCACCGTTCCTGGCATGCAAGTTAGGAAACAGAGATCCACAGAAGTTAAGTATCCAGCTCTGAGCCACAAACGTGGTGTCAGTGAAGAGCCTGTTACCAACTTGTGTGTTCTTTTCCTTCAAACACAAATTATAAAGAATCTCCAACTCTGAGACACTAACTAAGAGATTCAACACTGCAGAATTTGCTCCTGTGTTAAGACAAGCTCCCCATGGAAAGCTCTATGAGATAAACTCATACTCTTTAAGCACCCCAAAGGGTTGAATATTGCTAATTATGCCGACCGAAGTCCATGCGAAAATGTAGATATATGTTTCATAAGTTACTCTGTTATCAAATTAACTTTTAAAAATCAAGTCTTCCCCCATTCAATTGAGAAAATGTGTCCCCATTGCATCCATTAAACAAATTTCGGTAACCATCACAATTGTATGTGTAAGAGACAAAAAAGAGAAACAGAGAGGGCAGCAGGAGACAGCGGACAAACACTACAACGACTCAATTACAAAGTTCAGAAGTACATCAACAGAGGAGACACTAAGTCAGCTTCAACTGCTAAGAAAACAGCATCTGTGAATCATTACTGCAGTTACCTTTGTCAATTTCATTTCAAGAACATGGCTGCCGTGGATGCGACTGTCGAAGTGCGCTACTTCTTTGGAAGAGGACTTAACTTTGGCGATAATCTTCACATAGGAGAACACGATGACAGCCGTGGGCAGCAAGAGGCAGAAGAAGAGGATGTTCAGGATGAAAACCTGCCCCCCTACGGAGGCCTGGGCCAGCCACCAGTCCAGGGTGCACGAGGTTCCGAAGGGCTCAGGTGCGTAGTCCCCCAGACCCACCAGGGGCATGGTGGTCCAGAAGGAGGCATAGGCCCAGATGACCGCCAGGCAGATGTAGGCATGCCTTCTTTTCAGCCAAACCCCTGGAGGTGGAAGGAAAGCGTTACCTCGATGTAATCTGCCCTGTACCCAAATACCTCCCCTCGATACATCCAATTCCACCTCCAAAGATTTATTCCATTGAATTCTGGGAGACGTGAGCAGGTAACTGAAGCCTGAGGGAGAGTGCAGTGAAGGGGGACGCGTTCCAGAACCCGGGCCTGTCTCCAGGAGAGTAATTCTGCAGAGATTTCACAAGGAAGGTTTTCTCTAGGCACCTGGGAGCTTTGCAAAGGAGAAGTGACAAAGGCTGGGAAAAGGGAACAGTCCAAAGATGAATGGATGCTGAAGATGTGATGGCTCTTAGGGAAAACATCTCAAAAGCACGTGTCAGGGATCAAGGGAAGGGGAGTTCTCTCTGGGAGAGGAGTGAGAAATCACAAAATATCACCATGTCTTCTAAATGTCCTTCTTCTTGAGAACTCTCACGTGTATAATTTATTTCTAAGAACTCGTTCAGTGAGGGCTGGTAGATTTTGTTCATTATACTACAAAAAGTGGTTGACTGTCATTGGTGATTTATTTGAATCTTCAAATATTATTCATGTAGCCAAAAAAAGAAAAAGGAAAGACAGAGAATCTAAATAGGTAGCATGATGGTCTTTCTACAAATGAAATTCTGTGAAAATATTTTCAGGAAGACTAGAAAAAAAAAATGAGCTCCACTTTTTAGCTCTATTTTTTTTTTTTTTTAGCAAAAGGAAATTCCAAGGGATAGAAACAAGGCAATCATCTAATCTGAGAAACACAAGTGATTTTTTTGTTTTCCAAAGTTCAACACAGCTACCACCACCGTTAGTTCAGCTTGATAAAGTGCTGTATCCTGCACAGGAAATTGCCTGCACACCTGACTCATCACCTCAAATAAGGCGGCTAGCGAGGGAATTCTTACTGCCTTGGTTATGCTAGAGTAGGTAAAAATATATATCTATATATAAAAGCTAAATGATTTCTTCAATGTAGAGTCGGGGCCTGCCTCTACTTGGTACATGATGAAGTTTGGGCAGTTTAGTACACCCTAATTATCACTGCTAGTATTTAAGCTTACTCATATACTCTTTCTGGATGTTCGGAATTCTTCGTAGTAAAATCAAGGGAAGGATCAAATGCTTACAGGTTTTGAAAAGGGTTAAGGGTTGTCATGTAAGAACCTGCTTTGCAAACTGAGAAAAGCACCATTCCATCACAAATGTTTATTCCTGTATGTTTGTCTAGTTTGGCACAAGGAACATAGCAGATGCTTTCTATACGCTATTGTCTCTGTTCCCTCACATACATAGTATTTTGCATAATGAAACCTGTCAAGCCCAACCAGATATGAGTAGCACACATGTCGCCACAACACAAGTCAACTTTGGGTTTTCCATTGTAATGGATAAAACATTGGCAGAAATGCTCATAATTATGGGAATGTGCATATATGCATACTTATAAGCGTTTATGGTTAAGGTTACTTAGTGAGGTGTTTTATACTTACATTCGAGTATGGTGAAAGGCTGTCAAGTACAGGAGGGAGTAGATTAGTAGATTGGCTCTGTGTTGCTCCAGAAGTCAGAACTAGGACCAATGGGTGGAGGTTACTGGGAGGCAGTTTTGTCTCAATATAAGGAATAACATTGTAACAATGAGAGCAGACCAATCAGAGAATGGGCTGCCTTGTGCAGTAGTAATCTCCCCGTCACTGGTCACTGGAATTATTCAAGAAGAGGCCAAATAGTCGTCCCTCAGGATGCATTTACACAGCTTACCACAAAACTGGGAGAAAGGTCTATATGTCCCCAAGTGACCTTTCGATTCCAACCTTCTAGACTGTGTGGAAAGTTCCATAGTGCTTCAGATCAAATTATGAAGCTGTACTGTTGAGGTTTAATATTAGAGGAGGCATAAAGTATATATAGTTTTCTTACAGAGCTGTGCCCTGCAATGAGTCTGGCAGTGTAGAGCGTCATTTCTTTAACTGACACAAAGCCTAACCTCAAGAATAGATTTGCAAACAGAAATGCGAAGGTTTAATCTCTCTTGAATACTTCAAGGAAATACTTTTGCCTTCTTATCTATAAGATCAATGGTTGAATTTAAAATCTGCTTAGTTTGACCAGAAATAAGATTTACAAATTATATTTTCATGTCTAGAATATGTATGATTGTATATTTTTAATCTTATGGAAACACTGATGATCTGGGCTATTTATATTGGATGATTTAAATGTTTAGAAAAAGATATGCATTTTTTAATGAAGACTGAATCGTGAAGACAATGGTTCATGACCCTCCCTCCCACCAATCCATGAATGGTTTTTTGAGAGTTTGGGGTCTATAATGGAAAAGTCAACCACAATGATAGCATGACAGCTCAACTTTGTTTTTTTCCACCTTGGTCTCCTGGCTATACTCTCGTCCTGTGGTCCCAGCCACTCTGATTGACAGATCACTGCAATGATAGCAGCTTTATCCAGAAGTCTGTACTATTACCTGGCTGTAGCTGACTCTCAATGTTAAAGTTAAAAATGTCTTTTCACATTCAACAGATTTCCAAAACCTCAATAAGCAAAGTATTAAAAAATCACATTTCACTAGCCAAATCATTTAATTATTTAAAAATACTTGAACTTTAAAAACATGTTTAACTGCTGGCTTCACTTCATCAATTCCTTTTACTCATATTTCTACTTACTGATAACAAAAGAATGGGAAGTCGTATTTCAGTATGTGTGCCTTTTTACATAGGAACAGTTACATGGTTCTTTAACTTGAAACTGAATGTTTTGGAACTTATCTCTGATATCATAGGAATCTTAAATCCTCAGGGAGAATCAGAAGTTTTATCCATAATCATAGTTTCTACATGGAAAATCAGATAAGCATCTTGGGTCTAACATCCTTTCAATGCACTTTATTTCTTTTGGTTTTTGTGGCAGAACATGTTAGAAGTTTATGCAGTTATATAAAGAGAAGTATACTATTTAAAATATTATAACCAAAACATGAGATATCACTATGAAAAGTATTAAAAGAAATCTGTGTTGACAAAGGGTTCAAATACTTCAACATTCATCAGCACAAGATAAGCGATAAATAGAAACATTCAATCTCTGAGGTTATTAACAATGTGTTTATTAACTGTGTGACAGTGATTCCACCCAGCTTTGAGAATCAGAAAGTGAGAAACCTTCCAGCTTACCATACGACAGATAGCAGATTTTCAGGTACCGATCCAGGCTGACAGCCGTCATGGTGATAAGGCTTCCACAGCCAAAGAAAAATCCAGCCCATCCGTACCAACGGCAACCAATCCAGCCAAACACCCAACGGTGACAGAAGCAGGAGATGATGGTGAACGGCTTGCCTACGACTAGAGCACCAAGCAAGTTGTCAGGGGGAAGAGCCCTCCGGTGACAAGGTGCCTCCCGACCTCAGGTCACCTGGCCCCTCCTCTTCCGGAAGCACAGAGGCACACCCCGACATGCTTCAGCACACAGAACTGCTGTCCTAATGAAATTCGAAGATCTCAGAACAGACTGAGATTGAAAACCTCTCTTGATCATTTCAGTCATCTCAATAAGCAAAGATAATAAAATCATTCAAGGAAATTTCAATGTAAATATCACTAGAAGGAACCAGCTTAAAGGGAACCAGCTTCAGGAAGTGCAGGGACTACTTCAATGGGTAGTGGCAACAATCTGGACACTTTTGATGTTTTACTGAAGCGGTTCATTTGAACCCTAAGAGAAAATAGCAATGTTTACACTGATTTCCCCTCTAGAGTGCCCAAGATCGCATTATTTTTTTCTCCATCGAATATTAGACATTCCAAGCTGATGGATAAAAGAATATTCATTGAAAAGAGGTTTGTAGCATGCACATCTGGATGTGTTCAACTTCAGAAATCTCATCTAGAACCCGAGAATCTCCCAAACAAGAATCTGATTAGCTTTTCTGCAAAACAAATAGGTTAAAATACTTACATAATCAACAATATTGAAGAAGCTATTATATATGCTTCTTGGCAGTCAAAATTGGAGGCTGTAAACATTTTTAAACATTCATAAACGTATCAGAGTTTGTATGTAATACCATTTTCCAAATGAGTTTCAATATAAAACCCTGCACACATTCCATCCATTATCCCTTAGGAAACACTGCTCCTCAGACGACAAAGTGTACTCTCATTGAACTACAAAAAATTCATTAACATAAGGCATGAGCCCAGAATTCAGCAGTAATTTGATGCGAAATTCTTAGTTCTTTAAATAACATTCAAATATCCAACAAGGAAACCTGTTCAATTCAAAGATGGTTGAGAGTCGACTTCCCAATAATTATAATTTGACCCAGTTAGTTTCTTAATTTATGGTAGTATTTCTCTAGGATTTCTAAGTCAGTGGTGACTAGAGATCATCGTACAAGGAACAGCAGGCTGAAAGGCTAGGGGCCTCAGATGGGGTGGACAAGCCAAGATGTAATGGGATAACTGTAGTGTTGGTTGTGCCTAAAACAATGACAGCAAGAGCTGCTTTGAGCTCTCTGCTTCATCAGGGTTTTGGTGAGTTGCTGCGATGTGCTCTAGTAAGTCTCCTCCAAACATCGCCACATGTTAGGATCACTGGAGAAATTGCTTTGCTTCATTCATTTAAAAATCAATGTCGAGAACAGCCTTCAGATACGCTGAGATCGTTTATCTGGAATGAGCCAGGCATCAGTATCCTTTTTAGACTCTCCAGGTTGCTGTATTAAGCATTCACAATTGTCAACCTTCGGTATTCTCACAGCAATATTAGCTGCACAGGTGAGCAGCATTCTCTGGGTTGTGCTACTTGTAAGTGCCTGCAATTGAATGTAGCTGAGTAAGGGGGAAAAAAGGCAGCCAAAACTTGAGGTTTATTGGAAGGGAAAGTACATTACAGACGTTCTGACTGATCTGATTTAATCAGCAAAAGCTGTCGCTTGAAAGGTAATGCTTTCTGATTAATTGCTGTAAAGACGTGCAGAGGAATGAAGAGGGTTGTGCCATTTTAAAGCTGACTCACTTGGTTGAGAGTGTTTTCGATGTTTCAGGCCAATTAAAGACAGTTTCATCCAAGCCTAGGCTAATTCAGCCTTAAGCAGGAGTCTGGCATTATCCGCTGGTGAAGGATGAAGTTGAAATGACAGGTTTCACTCAGGCATTTCATCTCAGTACCCGGAGAGAACCTCCAGGGGCCTTCTGGCTGAGTGCGCTGGGAAAGTTATCATTGGTGTTGCTACACCGCCATCGTGTGGCAACGTCTAAAATGACAATCATTTGTAACTACGGGTCAGCAGATGCATCCTATTTTCACAGGAGTCATGCTCCTGTTAATAAGCAATGTGCGTTTATTTACCTTAGGATCAGCTGATACTGAAACCTTCCCATTTCGAGTAAAATATCTCCCAAATAACTAAGACCACAACATGTATAATGCTAAAGAAGAAGTAGTGATTTTGTAGATTGGGGCTGAAAATTTCACTTAGGAACAAAGAATTAAATATAGGAGAACATTTGAAGAAGAGAACTTTAGATGAGAAATTGCTGAAAGGTTTTTAGTGGTAAAAGAAGTGAATATGTGTTGTTCAAACACAATTTCCCAGCTCTAACCAAAACCATGTGCTAATCAGCAGACAGTGGAATCCAAAGACTTATTAGGAGCACTGGAATTTTATAGCAGAAACTGATGGGAGGTGATCTACCCAAATATCTTTCATCCTTTGAGTGAATTATATTTAAAGAGAGAGAGTATTCCAACTTTTCCTTATTGTGTTGTCATAGAAGCAGAACCAGCAAAAAAGAAACTAGCTCTTCTCAATTTGGGACATACATTGATTCCATGGGAGATTCCAATTTCAAACATCCCGAGATCCATGTTACATTTCCAAACACTTAAAGTCAAAACATCTTGGTGAGGGATCATGAAGCATGTTTTGGTTTCTCAGGCGGTCAAACCTGAGAACCACTGAGCCATTAGCTTTCTGTGCCTGCATTCTCTCCTGACTCACAACCACCAGCAGCCAAGCAGTCCTCCCCACTTCTATTCCCCTCAGAGCTGTGCTGCCACTCACCCTTCAGGACCCCACTCGAGACCACCTGCCAAGGGAGAGCATACAAAGACACGGCGCTCCAAGCGGTGGCCAAAACCCTCCCAATGAGCTTGATCTCTGCGTGGCTGACCTCACTGCACACCTTACGCCTGGCACTTAGGAAAGATTGAATGGATGTTGAGTGAATGATTTCTGCAGCCCAAAAACACTTACCACGACCTCTGGAAAGATGCTTTGCGGAGGAGAAGCAGAGCCAGTGCGTACACTAGAAAAGGAAATTGTTTAGACCCGCAAGAAGCAGACGGCAGGGCTGTGTTTACCTGAAATCCCCAGATCACAGACTGCTAAGTTGATAGTCATGATTTCAGCTGGTCTGAGCTTCTTCTTTCGTCTAGAAGACATATAAAGGACATACCCATTTCCAAATGTGGACAGAATCCCTACAAAGAAAAATAAAAAAAGCCTCATCGTTAAAACCATCATTTAGCATTTACTTGGATACGAAACACTCCTCAATTTAAAAAAAAAAAAATGGACACCATAGATTTGGAGGGCAGTGAGAGGACTCTAAACAAAAAGTCTAAATTAAGAAGATGGAATAAAGAGCATGAGTTGTGAGTGGGACACTGGCAAGGGAGGGGCTGCCTCCCAAGGGCTGGAGTCAGGGTCCTTGAGACTGAACTTACCCAGAAAATGGAACTGCTGACTCGCAGTCAGACTCCGCAGGGTGTGGGGATCCCAATGGCCAGCGTGGACCGGCCCCCAGGAATGAGCATGCTCCTCAGCCATTGTTACAGATGATTGGCTTGATAGAACTCCCTCCCTCTGATAAGTAGGGTTAAGCCCTTGGCTCTGGATCGAGTCTAACATGAAGCCAACAGGTGCCTTTTGTCTCACTGTGGGCTCCTTCAGGAGAGGCAGGGGCCAGGTGAGCCTGGCATAACCTCCTACAAAGGAAGGGTCATCTCCTAGCCGAGATCCCAGCACATCAGTCTCCTAAGGAGACCTGGACTCTGGGTGTGTGGCAGACAGGACCACTTTCATCTGCTGCTAAAATAGGTGTCAAGGGTAAGTGGGTGAAATCTGAGAACACAGGCACTCCCCCTCCCACCAAAGGGGAGAGAAAGTGACCCTCAACCCAGCAGACCTACCAACAACAGCATACATGTGTTCCCGCTTTCTTATATCCTGTCATTAACGAATGACTGATCGGCTTTCGCATTACAAGGAAACTGTCCACAAGTTCTTACAAACCCAGTTTAAATCCAAAATGACCCAATCCCTACTGACTTTATTTAAGAAAAGAATACACCTACTTCCATAGCTTAACATGTAGAGTAGATTTCCTCAGGAATTCTTGCTTCATAGAGTAGCTGTGTATAAATGAGAATCTGGTACAGCTGCCTTCGGTAGTAAGGAATAAGGAGAGTATTAACAGGAGAAACCCAGAGTTTTCTGTTTTAACTTTTACTTCTCCACCACAATTCATTTTGGGGGCAAGGAAAGGAATGTGTCTTTCAGCTGATGGTCTGAAACCACCAGGAACAGACTGCATTGTACTCTGAGAAACTTCTGACTCCCTGGAGTCAGTGCTGCTTAATGGTCCATTAAAACCTCTTTAGCTTTCTTAAAGCACAAGAGGGGAAAAGCAGAGGAGATTACAGAGTTCCAGAGCAAACCAACTAAAAGAGGCTCATGTCTCATAAAAGGAAACCAGATAACACAACGCACTGGAAAAATTAAATTGTGGAAACAGGGCTTGAAAAGTTATAAAACAAATGCCACCTGTGCTGTATCCCAAAAAGTTTTCAAACAATAAATATGCATATGCATTCCACATGAAAATTCATTTAAATCTCTGTCAAGAATATTTGCTTCTGATTTCCTCTTTCTAAAATGGTCTTTACTATCCCTATTTCATAGGCTTCACCCAGTGCCCAAAGTATTAACAAAACAGTCAACTCTGTTGACTTTATTTCCAAGGTCAATCTTATTCACCAGATGTGTTGTTAAAAAAAAAAAAATTGCAAGTTTGTCTTTAATGATAATTCAAGGAAAACAAGAAGGTAACGTGAGGACATTTTTAGATTATCAAAATCCCACATCTCTGTTTAATACCAGGAAAAAAAAAAAAAACATATCTAGACCATTGTTATACCAGGAATTTACCTAGGAGAGTGGAGCGTGCATCTCTAAATTTTTCTTTTACAATTCAAATGCAGATTTCTTTTCATCCCTAAGACCTTCAGTGTTTAACAAAGTTCACCAAAAGCATCCTTCTGGGTATATTTATAAAATCTGATCTTAGGAGAAGGTGAAAACCAGACTCCAGACCCAGCCCCAGGCTTCCGCCCGGTCCCTCGCCTCAGCTGACCCGCTGCTGGGCTGCGTGTTTGCCGCTGGGCCCAGCTCTAGGGTTCACCTGACCTGCTCCTTAGGGACTCTTGGAACGTGTTTTCCTGTCACTGCCTCAGCACCCCCACTCATCCTCCCTGCCATCCACTCCACCTGCCTCTCTCCCCAGACTGAGATGACTTTCTCCCTGTTTCATGTAGAGTCTGGAGAGGTTAAAGATGTTACTCTTTGGTTCACTTGCTGAGATAGATTGACTTCAATGTGTAAGGTGTTTGTTTTGCCAGCATTTTGAAAGCACTTACATTTAATAAAAACATAATGGAGATTTTACTGCAGGTAAGGCCCTCTTTCTTCAGCTTGCTTGTCCATTATTCCCTGCTATATTCTCAACTACTGAAAGAATAGCACAGAAAGCATAGAGAGACCGTATAGATCTGTGTTGGGAAAGGCACAGAGCGAAGGGCACAGGGTCCATCTGGAAGAAATGGACCTCAGAGAACTACAATGCTAACTAGAAAGACAAGGACCCAGAGGCTCACTTGGCGGCAGAATTTCTGACTGCACCGCATACATGAATGTTTCCTCAAACATTGACCATAGAGGAATCTTGAGAATTTTCTCATGAGTTTTGCCAATTTCAGGCGGTTAAATGAAAATCTTAGCAAGCAATAAATAGATGAGAGTAGAAGAGCATGGGGTGCCGGAAGAGCAGAGAATGCAGGACGAAAGGAAAAGCAGAGAGAAGCAGAGAAAGAACATGGGAGAAAGCAGATTTGACCCAAGAAAGATAAAGGCAAAGAGAGCTGAAAATATAACCCATCTGTACACGGTGCACCCAAATTTAGAATGAATTTAATTTTCAGGAAAATGTTATTGTCTAGACTGCCAATGCCCAATAGGATTATAACATAAAGCATAAGATGTGTACCATATGGCACAGATCTTTCAACTGTTTGTGGGAAAATGAATTCAAAAATAGAAAATACATTTTCCATCATGATTTACAGACCCCCTCACATGCATTTTTGAATTTTCTTTTAGCCACATTAAACAAAGTAAAAATAGGTTGGCACATCCATTTTGATAATATATTTTCTTTAGTCTAACATATTCAAAATAGTATGGGTTCAACATCTATTTGACATTTTCTAATTATTGCGAAGGTATTTTACATGTTTTTTTTCTGACACTGAGTCCTCAGGACCTGGTATGTATTTCTACTGCAGGATAGCTCAGTTTGAGGAAGTCCTGGCTCCTTTGTCCAGGAGCCCCTGGCGACCCCTGAATTCTTCCTGAAGCAGATGAATGCCTTTATGGATATGCATAACATCTTTCAATTGCACTCTGACTTCCACTTATTGCCAACACATTTCTGCATTTGTTACCAAAATCATTTAGCGATGCTGTTGTGATGCAACTTTACTTTTAGGAAAGTAAATTCAGTGTGTCTATGTTCCCTATACCTCTGGGCCAAAATTCCTTCTTTTATGAGAAGATGAGACTAAACTAGATGATTTCTAAGATTCATTCAGGCTAAAAAAAAAACCGTATGAATCTGTCAAAAGCATTTTTAAAAGATAGAAGTACTTTTAAAGTAAAATATTATTATCATTATTTTTCGCACTCAGATGATAAACCTAACACCGAAGTAAATAAAATGAAATATAGTCTTAAAACACAGAATTTTGCCATAACTAATCCATAGATTATCCATGAAACTTTTATCCCGAGTAATGAAGCTGATAGCCTATAGAATATTAACTGAGGGTCACAGCGCCATCAGACTACCTTCCTCCCACTGTTCATCACCAGCCAAATATCCACAAAGGCTAGAATATTTTGTGTAAGACTCTCACTCTACGTCCATGAATTTGCTAAATGCAGTATTCACGCAGAAAAATTAAGGAAACTTACCAATTATTGTAAGATAAAAGCCTGCCACTAAATCTGCTTCCCAGGAAAGTTTGGAAGCAAAAGGATCGCCATCTCGAAAGTAGCGTGGCAGGTGCTGGTCCTGAGGTAGAGCAGTGTCATTTAGTGCCATGCTGTTCTCAAGACACCAGGCATCTGAAAAACAAATCGGTGGAAATCTCTAAAGACCTGAATCAGTCAGTACGAATCATCTCAACAGGCTATCCTCTGTATTCAACCAAAAGACACACTCCCACAGGCCCACATGATTCTCGTTTTAATTATTGATGGGTATTTTCACATTCTCTTCAATGATCCAAATATATCAATACTTCGTAATTCATTCTGTGTCCTTCCCAAGCTTGCAACATTCTCTGCTCCCTCACACTGCCCTCACACCCACCTTGACTGATGAAGTTGAAAGACAATTGTCCATATTTACTATGCTTTAGCAATTTTGCAACGGTCTGGCTAGGAATTCATTGAACGGAGTTTTACACTTTTGGTATATATTCACTTGTCAGAGAATAGTATTTGGTAATTATCCAAATTGCCCAGAAGAGCATCTGCATCAGTTATATGTTCAGTGAACTACACAATTTCACAAAGGAAAGAAATAGAGCGTTAAGTACAAAGGAACACAGATGCTTCATTAAGCAGAGCAAGGAATTGGGACATTTTGAAAATTATTGCAAAATTTGAGGCTATTTAGAAAATAATTGTATCTTGATTGTAAGATATTTTTCTATATTTTCCTAAAGCAAAAAAAAAAAAACAACTTTATTATTTCCTAAAACCACTTCTTCAAATACATTCTTTCAAAGTACAGATTGCTGGTGCCGGATGAAGTCTTGAGCAATGAGGAACTCCCAAAGCCCACAGGTCTTTGTACTTTTTCTATTGAATCGTGATATTAAAAGGTTTACAAAAGCTCTTTGAAGGGTGTTCTGAGAAATCAAAGTCACATGCCCTACCAATCTTGTAGCATTGAATAGTTATTCTCTAAATAAATCCTGCTGTTGATGACATAACTTCCTATGAAGTAATTGTTGGTATATTTCTTTTGAAACAAGGAGATGAACTAACGCAGGCATTTCAATTTTTTGAACTTGCTTACTTCAAATGAACCAATAGATGTCACTGTTCAGCCCTCTGGGAAGTGATTTGAGGCCTGTGAGAGATTGCCAGCCTGCAAGTGTAACATGGTGTTGTTGGGTGAGAGGGCGATCAGCAGACATCCAGGAGTGTATCTCAGCCTCTTCCAAAGAGATTGCTTTAACCACATAGAAGGGAATTGTGCCACGCTAAGCTGCCAGTTACATGAAGCTACTGTTTGCAAGCTCACACAGCTTATGAAAGCTGTGAAAAGTTGCACAAAAAGTCTCGGACTGCCAACACTCTCTGCCTCTCAAGATCTGATCCATTAAAGCTCATTTTAAATTTCAAGCATATAATTCCTCTTTAACTGTCAGTCATTCTGGTAAGTTCTCTCCTCATCCTGGTTTCCTTGTGATGCCTAGATCTCCAATCTAAGTTCCTGGCTGTAAGCTGAAAATCCTCTGATCTTGACAAGATTACTTCGACTCTGAACCACAACTGCTTCATCTACAAAATGGTCAATATCATTGATACCGATTATAGCTTTGGGTGAAAGCATTTCTCCCATCCATTCATAATTCATGTATTTATTTATCACAAACCATAGGAAGGCCTCTCATGGTTGTATGGGTTTCCTCGCTTGGGAGATTTGCTGGGAATTGGTGCCTTAAAGAAACTGAAATTAAAGGTATTTCTCCAAGAGATCTCCTCACAGCCCTGAGATCTTACCACTTATCCTGTCATATCTGTGTCTCAAACTACGTGCTAGCACTAACTGGGGTGTGTGACACACTCAAGTGGAGGCCCCAGGTTTTACCTTGGGGATTTTTACTCAGTGATTGTCCCTTCTTGCTCAGTGAGTGCTCTACAAACTAAATTAGTAGCAAAATCATGCATACTCCTCATGTTTGTTTGCTCTTTCAAGCAGCTGCAAGTGCTTAATGAACATTAAGCCATGGTCCTAATCATACTCGTATGCCACAGGTGACTGCTGTGTTCTGGTGAATGTGATGTAGTATTTTCCTTTTATACATTAAAAACAAACATGAAATCACCTTAACATGCAAAGTAGCAAACAAAACATAAAATAAATCTGGGGCTCAAGCTACAGTCTGTAGATGGGTCCCTTTTACCTATTAGCTGGTGCTAATGAGATCTTTGCCTTCTCTACAGGAGAAATGTTCACGGCCGCAAGGAAATTAGTAATCAGCTAAAACTGCCTGTCAAACAGAAATGCACAGACACACTTCTGGTTTTTTTGATTCAATAAGATGCTAGAGAAGAAAATAAATATTTGTCTTGTTTTTCATTTCATTAAAAATATGGTTGGAAATATGATATAAAGAAGAAAGGAAGGAAAATTGGTTGAAAAGAGAGGTGAGGTTTGTAGAATGAAGGATAAAAGAACATTTTTCTTCACAGAACCAACCCGGCAAGAGAGCAATCAATTCAATTCAATATTTTCTAAGCTGTATTAAAAAGGGCAGATTTGTCTGTTGAGAATAATAACCTCCATGTCAATTTATTCCTAACCAGTCCAGCTTGAAACAAATTGAAAAGTCTAAGGTAATGGAAGTTCTTTAATCCATAAAGAGATCTGCTGTAATAGTTCCTTAGACTATTAATAATAATTTTTTAAAATATCAAGTATCATGTAACTAATATCTATTTCACCTATCTCATCTCCTGAGCAAGTTTAAAATTAATTTGATGTCATCTTTTCTCCAAACCACTTGTCCAAAAATTAATGTAATGAGCTACAAATGTCATGTGGCCATCACTACTCTAATTACAGACCGTCAGTACTTTTAATTAAAGAAGAAGTGCGTGCCACTCAGATGTTCGACAATCTTGCCCAACTCTGACATGACATGGCATCCATTCTTTGTTCCTCTAAGAGACTTGCCACATACCCAAGAGTCTTCCCTAGAGAGGGAAGCAAGGAACCCCAACCTCTGCAGTCAGAAAGGGTGGCACATGGCTAAGATTACGTCCAGAGCATACAAGAAGCTGCACACCCAGAGATGCAGCTGGAGCCTCAGAATTCCCATCCACTTCATCAAGAAACCCTGGACTTAGAAACCGTACTACAAGATGCAGCTTGTAAGAATACTCTAATGGTGGAGATTTTATCTCCTTTGTCATCAAATGGTGTATAAAGAAACTTGAGCATAAACTTTGACAGATAGATTAGAAATCCCTTTGTTTCTCAAATACCTCAACTCTGAGCTGGATGTTGTTAGCTATGAGTTATAAAGTAACTGTAAATAATAGTGATAATAACAGTCAACATGAAACACACCTACATATTAATAACAATCATCAATGAGACAAAGTTTTCAACAACAGAATTTTCATTCCTTCTCAAACAGAAATTAACATGTCATCAAGGCTTAAAATGGCAGAAATAGATAAGCTAAAATCAAATAGCACAGTGCTTTATAAAAGACCTGACTCTGGTTTCACAGGCTCTCATTATTTTGCTGCTGCTTGCCTTCCTTAATTAACTCCTTATGTAAAATTCTGTTCTGAGTTGACTTTTATAAGTACTTGTTGATGCATGTGGGCCTAAACTCAATAGACAAAAAAAAAATCTAATTAACTTCATCAATTACACAGTGGTATTTGAATAAAAGCTCAGACAGAACAGTTCTAACTACTCCACATCCATCTTAAAACAAAAAACATGAATGAAAGGGCAAAATCCCCTAAAACTGAATTTAAAAACCATCATCATTTTGCCCATGAATTATCCTGATGCTATCCTCATCATTCCTTTCAACTGACCATCAACTCAAAGATTATTTGCCTAACAGTAAAGCTTAGAATTTGTTGTTTCTTAGTCATTTTATTCCCTTGTTAAAACTCACCGATTTTAGAGCCTGTCAAAAAAAGAAGTTTCGTTCCCTGGGCTTCTGGCTGGATTTGCTCAGTCTTGCCACGTCTTTTTATTGGTTCTTTCCAAAGCAATACCCTAGCTACTCTGCACTTCAGCTGATTTTAAATATTATCAAGTGAAAGGTATTCATTTTCTAGACTTTTCAGGTCTCTCCACCCCTTTGCCGAAAGAACCAATCATATCTTCAGAAAAAAAAAACAATCTCATCTTATTGAATTATGAGGAGAGATGCAATTTTTGGAAGCTTAATTTATCAGTGATTAAAAAACCAGCAGCAGCTACTTGGCCCTTATATTGATCAGAGACTAGACTGATTCTGTCTGCTGGCTGTACCTTAAGACACCATATACTTGCTTTTTTACTTTTCGATTAAAACATCTGAGACTCATCCTCAATCACAAATAAAATCTTGAAGCCTTTATTAATGATTCATCTTATTGGTAAATTTTAAAATCAATACGTACTCTCTTCAAGTACCTCATAACTACCTGAGAAAGACCACTAAAATGGAAAAGAAAAGCTCACATGTTATTTTTCAACATAAAGCTAACACTGGTTCTGTCCTGGTTTACAACCCTCCAAGTTTGTCAGGATTGGAAATGAAGATTTGTTAACAGCATAAGCATCCACCAGCTGGAATGCCTAGTACTCAACGATTTCACTCCCGGAAACTGACATTGTCTAATGAATGTCTAATGTCTAACGAATACATACACATCAGTCCATTTCAGCTCCACAGCAATAATGCTACGAAGCAGGCTATTTCATTATCGCAATTTTGTTGATAAGAATGTTCACAGCCATGAAGAAAATGAGTTTAGCAACCAAGATTGATGGTCAGGTAGTAATGTGACCTACCCTTTTATCAGATTTAATTATGGTCGGTAGATTGTATAAAGTCATCTGCTTAGCTTGTTCTACATTTGTTGACTAAATAAGTCAATGAACCAGTCTTTCATCAACATATAACATTACTTCAAATCCAGTTTCTCATTTAAACAAGGGAAGAAATTATATTTATGATAGAGAAAAATGTTGATATAACAGTTTAGGAAGGCCTCATGAAAAATGAAACTATTTCAGACTAGTTTTCTAATTATCTCAGTTTTTAATACCCCATCCCACCAACAATAAATAGAAATGTGACTTTTTCACATCATATGATCCTATTTTTAAAAAGATTCTCTCACCATAAGTCATGCCTCAACTCATTGTCTAA